CGCGGACAACGGACTCCTCGTATGCGGCGTGATCTACGGCGGTCATGCTTGCACTGGGATCGGCAGCCTGAGACGGGTCTGCATTGGGGAACTGGCCAGAGCCTCCCCCGCCTCCCCCACCACCATTCATGGTGAGGTATGGGCAATCCGTGTCTTCATGGCTACCGCCGCAAACTCGACATTGTGGGGTATCATCATCTCCATCGGAGTCTGATGATGAGTCGGAGCTAGCGGCCGATGGCGCTTGTGGGAATAACGAGTGCAACCCTCCCAACATTGTGATTGGTACTGGCGGAACACGAGTGCCGTTGCCAGCTTTTGGCGGAGGCGGCGCCCCTGCGAGGGGCGTGGGAGGCGCTGGAGGTGGTGCGGCCGGAGGCGGAGGTGGCGGAGCCACTTGATTAGCAACCAATTGGGAAAGCTGCTGAACCATTTCCGCTAACGCCGTCACTTGCACTCTCACATCGGCTTGATCCCTTGTACCGTCTCTACCCAACCCGCTAGTCCTCGACGCGCCGGGGGCTGCGTCTCCAACAGAGGACGCTGCTCCTAGCACTGCCGAATGGCCTGCGAAATGTTGACTTGTTGCACCCCCACCAGGGTCCCTTGAATCAGCTGGGGCATCGTGACCAAGTCCTGAACTTTGAACAGAACCACACGGAGGGTCGGGGATAGTACTTGTAAAAGCATTCCCTTGCGACGATGCGGCAATACCGGAGGCATCTTGTGAATCTGAAACCTGAGGTGCTCCAACCGGCTGATGGGTTCCTGGGGGAACTGTGCCCTGACTTGAGGCCTTAGCCGCGCTTGTTTCCGTAGCTGTTTCGGCTATTGATGCGGCTTTTGGCGGGGACTCTTGAATCGGAACAGGGGTCGCACGAGCTTGTTGGGTGAGGTGCGCAACAACACGTTCGAGATCACCAAGTCGTTGATGCATCACAGAATTTTCCTGGGACAATCCACGAATGGTATGCTCTTGACTGGCAATGGTTTGTTCTCTTTGTGAGATTGCCTGTTGAGCCTCTTGAACAATGCGTTGAACCTCTTGCTGAGCGTCCTGTTGAGTGGCATTAACAACCTGTCGTGCGTTCTCGACATGGCCAATGTCGTGTCTGCTCGATTAGTTGCCTAGCCTGAGCCTCACTTTGTTGTGCTGTTTGTACAGCCTGCTGTGCTTGCGAAGCTAGCTGAGCGGCCTGAACCCTAACGTCTGATACTTCTCTTACAGCCCTTTCCCTGATCCATCCGGCCTCTTGTCTCGCCTGGTCGGCGGCCTGCTGTTGGTGCAAGGCGTGATTGGCTGCCTGAGCAGCGAGGTCGGATGCTCGATGAGCTTGCTGCACCGCAGCTCCAGCTATAAATGCCGCAGCGGGTACGTTAGTCATCGGGTCAGGTAATTGCGATCCCTGTGAAGGAAACTGAATGGCTGGGGAAGCTTCGGATGATGTAGGTTCTGACACGATCGGACCACTCGGGGTGATGATGGTCGTGTTTGAGCTGCTCGTTGAGGTGTGGATGTGCGAACTGTGGACATAGCTGCAGGAACCATGGCTAGGTCAGGGTCATCCGGTTCAGAATCCCTATTTGGGGTCGACCTTGAACGGGGTTCTGATGGCGGTGATAAGCCCGTTGAAGCCATGACACAGCGATGCAATTTTGCACTCACACGAAGCTAGCTCCACGCGCTTTGAGCAGCGTGTCAAAAGGTGCTACGAGGAGATATCCCTGGATTGGCAGCTGGTTGCGAAACGCTCAAGTGAGCCACTCAAGAAAATACGCCCTGCTGCTTTATCGAGGGATGTTGCCAAGCTGTATTGAGAATTTGTCTGCAAATCGAATGCCTGTAGCTGCAAAGATGCTGTACCGCGCAAAGCGACGGTTTTAACGGCTTGCAAAGAAAGGCTATCGAAGTACCCGATTGGCGGGCAATTGGGATGCAGACCGATGGAGTTCTTCGAGGTACTGCGATGGATGCAGGCCCCTTGCCGCCGGAATGAAAAGTCGATTCCGGCACTCGATGTACTCCCCAAGGTTCTCAAGTGCGTTGGCAAATCCGCTCGGCCCGAAATGCGGGAAGTTGCGGAACGCTGCGATGCCTGTCTTTTGAGCTTCACGGACAATCGCAGCTGTATCGTCGATGAGGGCGTGGGCACCCAGCCCCTGAAGGGCGTCTGCTTTGCCTCCCCTACCCAACCTTTCGTGTACGATTTTTATCGCAGAGAAAGTGAGTCCAGATGTCGTCCGCGCGTGCTCCAGGGCGACCTGGAACTCGCGGCGGCGATACTCGCTTGCAGCCCTGCCCACGAAGGATAGCACTATAAAATTTATAGGTGCGTAGTCGGCTGCAAATTGAACGAGATGCCGGATCACCTCCGGGTTGAGGTGGGGTCCCTGCTGCCCAACGTCAAGAACTCCGTGCCAGTCAAGAGCGATGGTAAGCTCCTTGGGCGGCACAGGCCTTCCAGGCGGCGGGGGTGGCGCAGGTGGTGGCCTTCTTGGTGGCGATCGAAAGCGTGTGCCAGCCACGGAAGTTGCAGCGCTAGCAGCAGCTGCTTTAACGACCTGCGGCGGTGGCGGCTTGACGATGTACCCTTGTGGCGGGTTTGAGCCCGATTTGCTTCTGGGTTCGGCTTTGTTCAAACCTCGCGGAGGCGCCTTGTACCCGAATGCACTCTGAGTCCGAATAGGAGACCTTGCTCGCGGCGGGGATTTCCTCGGAATATCTGCTTTTAAAGCGCCGAAGAAGCTGCACGAGGAAGTTCCTTGGGCAATGGAGGCTTGCTGCCAAAAATGACCTTTGGTGCGGCCTTTGGTGGCGGCGGTTGAATTGCTCCAATCCTCCGGCTATGCGAAGCAATATGCTCAGTGTGAGTCGGTGCCTCGTATACGCGCCGAGGCACGTAAGCTGACCTGCCAGTTCTGATGGATTCCGCGTCCTGCGGAGGTTCCTCTTCCGAGCTGTAGGCGTCGAGGCGATAGTGCTCCGCTGGCCCTGGGCGTCGATCTGGAGATCGTGATCGCGAGCTTGTGGATGATCTTCTTGGGGGATCTCTCCACGTCTCGTCCGCAAGCGAATACGGGTCAGCCTGACGGAGATGTCCGGATGTCCGCTGTGCTCGGCGGTGAGATGTCGCCTCACGTGGCTGTGAAGCCTCCCGAACGAGTACCCAAGTGCCGTGCTCGTCAAATCGTGTCACAGGGTATATACTGTTCTGTGGAGCCAATACAATGGGCCGTGTGGCAAGGGAAGTCCTGGATGGCCTGCCCTCCCGCGCAAGCGCGGGTTCAACACTGTGTGCCCGATGTTCCACAGGGGTAGCAGCAGTCGGTCCTCGTCTCGGAGGCGATGGAGACCTCGACCTTCGGGGGCGATGGGGACCTCGATCTTTGTGGCGACCGTTCCCTGCTGCTCTCCCGCCGCGTTTCCGCAGCTCTAGCGTACACCCCGCGAAGCGCTGTCTTGGCGGCGCCCCGCAACACTTGTCTTTCCTCTGCTGATGGTCGGATGCGAGGCAATGGAGTGCGCGAATCTTGTAGCCAGGATGAAGCTGAAGGAGGCGTCGGAGGGCGTAGCCAGTCCGCTGCACTGCTCGCTGCTTCCGCCGCGCCAGAGGCTGCGGCTTTATCCTGAGATTGCACACCTTGCGGCAAGACCACACCTGCGGTTTCAACCGATGCGAGACGCTGCTGATAAGCGTTGTCCGCGGCCTGGATCACTTCGAAGGCCTCTTGGTCAAAATCCCACAGGTGCCAACTATCCAATGACTCACGCCAGGAAAAGAGCGCCTCGATCTGTTGCTTCGAGGCGTCTGCAAACCTGACCCACCGGAATCGTCTGTTCTGCCGTTTGTACTCGTCAACGACGATCTGTTGCAGAGTGTTGGATAGACGGGCACGCGGCCCTTTCCCACCGCGAGTGCCGCGGTGAGGGCCGGCTTCTATGTGCGACCAAACGGTCGCAGTCACGGAGGGGTTTGTTTACCCGAAAAGCGTTACGGCTGATAACCACTCAAAGGAGAGGGAAACACAGTTTTGTCAACAACGGGGGAACCCGGGACCTTAAAAGGAACGAACCCCTCCGTGACTGCGACCTCTCGCTTAACCTTGTGGGTAGCGCGAGCAACGCGCTCTTTTCAGCACTTGAGCCAAATGACATGCGGACATGTCATCTGGGTCCTTGTCATGTTTGTACATCATGCAACTTGTTGTACCTCTGGGCCATAAATGTCATCGTGATAATTGACTTGAAACAGCCGAAACACAAATCAGCCAAGTCGATACTTCAAGAAAACAACCGCAACACATCGCTTGGTTTCGTCTGCGTCAGAAAGATTAGCGGCTCAAACAGGATCACCGCCATGAGTGAAAAGATATAATGGACTGTGACTCTGAAACGTTCCGGCAGAAAGTGAATCAAACCTTAGAAAGACAATCACCAATGAACCCCAACTATTCTCCAACTGGGCAGTTTGGTAGAGTGCTTCTTCCATTCTGGCAAACCGGTTGTGGCTGCGTTCCCTGCTTGATCTGTCGCATTGCACATCTTTCAAACGTGCTGAAGCTCTCTCTTCCGACAAATGCCTCTTGCCTTCAGATAGTGAGCGCCCAAGCATGACAACGTTGCAAGATATGACCTTCCAGCCTGGCACGCAGACCGAAGATACTGTCGGAGTCATTTTAGGAAATACACATTCACCAGGAACAAAGGAGGATCCAGTGAATCGTGCCAGCTCGCTTCCTGAATGGATTGGCCAAAACAAACATACTAGAACTTTCCATTTGCCACTAGGGTCCAAGCCTAAAAAGATAAAAGTCCAGGAAGTAAAAGACAAATCTGCACTTCCTATTTCCCACTAAAATGGCCGAAGCCCGAAAAGATGACTCTCTATTTACCACTAGGGTCGCCCAAAAGATGAAAGTGTGAAACGTGAGCGGAGCTTCGGATTCTGCTTCCCTGGGCAGAGAGTTTCCGGAGAAAAATAATTTTCTCTGCCGGGCCGCATGGCTTCCATCATGGCCTGGTGCCCGTCGGCGATGCCGAAGAGGCACAGCTGCATATTGGCCAACTTGCCTCGTCTCGTCTCTGGTCATGTCGGGGTTTGGGAGGTGGGGGATGGGGATGGGAGCTGGGGGATGGGGATGGGAGGTGGGTCTCTGGAAAGGCTGGGTTTGGGAGGGTCTCTGCTTCTGGTGAGGACCGCAAAGGGGATGCTCCACTGCACGTGCGAATGCTGAAAAGAGAGGCACGTCGAAAATCTCAAGGCTCATTGGTCCACATGTCGCTGGGGGGGCTGGGTTTGGGAGGTGGGTTTGGGGCCTCGGGGTCTCTGGTCCACATGTCTCTTGTGCCGGGCGTATGGCATGGACCAGCGAGTGGGGCTGGGGTTGGGGAGGTGTCTTTGGGGGATGGCTTGTTGTGCTTCAAACAGGAACGGATTGATTCCGGAACCGTTCGCAAAACAAATGCATCGCAAACAAACGATCTGAAAGCCTCCTATCGTTGCTCGTTGCAGTGTTTTCATGGGCTCAGTTGGCTCTTTTCGTGGACCATTTCCACATGGCATCACTTGAAACCATGTCTCTTCACAAAAGACCCGCAACTTCATTGTAAGGGGTTCACTGTAAACATGGACCACTGGTAAACCAGGCAAATACATATATATATATATACACATATCTGTCAGTTTCCCCTCAGGCCTAAAAAGGCTACGCTGAACAAAAGATAGACCTAAATGGTGAAACAATTGGCTTTGGAGACTCTGAGAATGCAACTCCGCGCTGACAACGGATCTGCAATGCAGCCGCTGCTTGTTTTGTCACATTTCCCCATAAGAATTGCGAATTTGAGTAGTGGTTTCCATGGAAACTGCCGCTTTCGAAGGTTCCAAAGAGGGAAATGGAGGAAACCCAGTCAGATTTTGCTGCCTGAATCTGGAATCCCTTCCAATGGGCACCCGGTCGGCCGGGAACGGATCTGTCGGGTAGCCAAAGTCATGGCGCGCAAAGAGCTGGTGAAAGTCCCAGAAGGACCCATAGCGCGGCTCCTGCACGGAAACATCGCAATGTGGCCCAGGGTGCCGCCTGATTGTTTCATGTGGACTTTCTCATATTAACTATGTATATATATATATATATATTGTATATATATATATATGTATACACGTATGTGTTATTATTTTTTATTTTTGTATACGTTGCTCACTTCTTGAGCGGATTGGCCAAAGGACAGTCCGAACTTTTGTTTGCCCCTGAAATGGTGTCCCCGAACAATTGACGTCCATGAGCTCGAGTGGGGTCCTCCTTGCTTTAGCTTTTTTCAGCATGGGGCCTCTGAAACCACATACCCGAAGAAAGAGTAGTTACATTCAAGCTGCGCATCGACCGTGTCCAAGGCGGAAGCAAAGCCAGGATTATCGACTTCCCAAGAATGTGTAGCACGGTTCCCCCGTGCCGGTCAAAGGTCCGCAGCTTTCCAATTGAACTTGCATCAAGTCTACTCCCACATCCTCCCATGCTGCAACGATTCGTACATGCAAACCATCCCTGAGGGCTGAAGTTACTGTGGATGGACGAAATCCTGCACCACCTACTGTAAGAAACCCTGGAATGATGATTCCCCTGTAAATTCCAACGAACAATGGTTTCCCATGGTCTCAATCTGGTGCAGGATTTCGTCCATCCACAGTATGAGTGTTAGGGGCTTCCTCCAAATCTCCTGAAACATCTGCTCGCCCTGCTCGTGGATGACCTTAAAGTGCCTCGCCCTCGCCTGAAGCGGCAAACAAAAACGAGGCGAGGGATGAGCTGCGGGTGGTGACGGTCATTCACGTCGGTTCAAGCACGGCGCCAGTGCAAGCATGAAGAAACACTATGCCATGGCTACCTGTGACTCATCGGACCCCGTCAACAATCAACCCCCCGGAATAGATGACCAGTCACCACATGAACTGCTTTAGAATTGGGTGGTATGGATGACTGCTGGGGCCAACTTTGAGATTCCATTGGATTTAGTGTTGCTGGACTTGATGTTCTTCTAGGGGACGTTTCCCCATTCTTTCCAGGGGTCCTTCTTTGCAGGAAACCCTCAGAATCCGAGGAAAGCTGTTTTTGGAAAATAACGATGGTAGGAATGTTCAATTTAGTTTTGGGGAGGAGGGAGGATATCCTGGATCATTATTTCGGGTGGGTTTAGTACTCGTTCCAGAAAGCTAGCTTCTTCTATCACTATTCGGAGAGGCTTTTAGTCGCAGGTGGGCGTTACCTGTTGAAAGGTGGAATTTACCTAAATGTCAGCACGGGCGGCAGTCAATTTTTCTTGAGCCAATATCATGTCGGAATGCCACTACCTATCAACACCCCCCGCTTTGCAGAGGTGCGTTGGTGAGAACAGTACTTTGTACATGTTTCCCCCCAGGCCTGAAGCAAAGTCCTCTGAGGTCGCGACGATGAAGACGTTGAGCCTCAGTGTGATAAGTGGCAAGCCATGGTGGTTTGGGGCCTGTTGCATCAATGGCCGCTGCAACTGCAATGCATTTGGTCTTTTGCAGGAGCATGCCAATCGAGTCGGCCGACCACGACTTCCGTCGGGCAATACACATGTGATTTCTCATGTGAATGCTTGAAACTGAATTCATTTTTGTTGCCGCAAACGGAGGTGATCTCACGACCACAGCTTCCGCTGGGCGAAATCGAAGTGACAGCCGGTGGTGGCGGCCGTGGATTGACCTACGGCCGCAGCTTCCGCCGGGCGTGCAAACATGGCACAGCTAATGTTGCGGCATCAATGGATGAAAGATAATAGGTTTCGAACATGACATCACCAATGAAATTTGAAAAGGTTACCGCAACAAAAGCTAAACTTTTCGTGATTGATGCGGGTGCTCATTATTTTTACGGGCCCTGACGCCATTGATCCCATCCATAGGAACACCCGTAATTCCAAGAGCTCCAGTCCTGACGCCCCTTGTTCTTGCCTTTGCCCTTGCCCCTTCCCTTGGCATAGGGCTCGGGGCGGATGGACCGGGTGATTGCCCTCCACTGAGTGTTCCTCGCCTCGACGGGATAGCTTCTTGTCCGGCCGGATGAGAATTGCGGGATCTCCAGTTCGCCTGCGCTAATCGTTCCTTGGGAGTCGTGCTTTGCCCAGGAGGTGCGGATAAAGCTAATCATCACCTCCAAGATGTTCTCGACGCTCCCTTCCGGGACGTGTGCTGCGCTGTGCCCAATGATGATAGGCACCTGATTGCCGGGAATGAAACGATAGGCACACATGACCGCGAACTGCATGATGGTGTAGAATCTCGCATGGTGCGCGATGAAAGCCTCCGTTGACACGTTCAACTCGTGGGGGTCGCGCTTGTTGGGGCCTCGACGGAGATTCCTCCCCGCTTGTCGCCTTCCTTGGCGTGATGCTTGGAGCGGATCCACTTCCCACCGCCCCCCTGGAGGTCTTCCAAGTAGAAGACCATGTTTTGGAGAGACGCGGTGTGCTCAAGGCGCACAACCTTGGTGGCGATCCGGGCATCCGTCCACTCGACCATATCTAATCGGCATTCCTGACACAAAAGGTAGCCGTCGATCTGCTGGTTGCCACACCTCTTATTCCAGCACTTCACAACCGGGTTCTTCATCATGGTCGTGAAAAAGAGGTCTTCCCATTTTGGCTCGTTCTGGTAGCGGCTCCGAAGGTTGTTCCAGCCGCGACCATGCCCTTTCTCTCCCCTGGAGAGCTCGGGCACCCGTCGAAGGGTTGCAGGCGCAACCTGATATGTCGGCCCTGCAGGTCTCTCATTCGACTTCCCCTTCCGGGGAGCGAGCTCATCGATCGTGGCAATCTCAGTCACGGCACCTTTGCCGTTCTTAGTCCCCTCAACGACAGTCCGCCAATGCCTCCATGCCTTTTCTGCGGTCAGGGTGTTTTCACTTCTGAAGAAGTTTGGATTGGCTTCCTGGGGACCTGGCGTGAGCTCGGATGTCAACGCTTCGCGGTACCTTTTGCGAAGCTCGGGGTACGCACGATTGAAATAGAGGAACTCATTCTTGCGGGTGTGGAAAGCGTAAATAATATATGCATTTCCAACCCAATCGGCAGACATAAACGCCTCATCGCTCGTGAAGAGTCGAATGCCGTCTTGCATCATGAGCTCCGTATCGAAAGCAATCGTGACGGGCCTTCCGGCTCGCGTTCCCGCCAGCTTCCTCATCTGTGCCTCCCAGGGTGGCGTGGGGTTGAAGTAGACGTGGGCTCTGCCTGTCGACTTCGGATAGCCCCCGGGACCAGGCCAAACTTGATAATGCCCTCGGCAGACCTGAGGTCACAGGTATGGTAGAGAACAGCAGGGAAGCCCCTACGCCAGAGATCCGTCTGCTCGGGATGCCGTACCGCTCTCGGGTATTGCCCGCCCAAGTACTTCGCCGCAGTGAACTCTTCGTCAAAGGAATACAAATTCGTCAGAATCGCCTGCTCGGTGTATTTCCTGGTGAGCTCGTTGCGGTGTCCTTGCACGGCCCTCACCCGCAACGCCTGATACGGCAATCCTTTCCAGCATTGGCAATCCGGTCGTTCAAATGCCTGCCCCGTGCATCGAACTCCACCGACAAATCGATTCCACGGAATGGTGGGTGTGGTTTCCCGTCCTTGAATGCCCCTCCCCGGAGGAAGTACGACATCTTTTTCGAGATAGCCACAAGCCTTTAATCGCGGTCCATATTGACCTTGGGGACATGCCCCATATCCTCAACCTCGAGCCACTCGCACTGCTCCTCGGTCGGGATCTTCGTGTTGATCTTCCGGGTTTTGGCCCAGTCCTCCCAAAAGATCTTTTCCTGCTTCGGGTCCTTCTGCTTCTTCGACCGGGGTTCCCCCTCGGCGTTGCCAGGCGGCGCTTTGGCCTTTGCAATCCTCGGCATCGCCTTCACCTGGGGCTTCTCGGCCAAACCGGCAGCTTGGATGTGCTGGTGCCCTCCGTCACGGACTCACGACCGACTCCGCGGTGATCATGGAACTCATCCCTGCCGCCTCGGATTCATCTGCCTCTGACACCAGTTCCAATGGTCCCACCCGAAATCCTGGGTGTCATCGCCCAGCAGGAGCCACTTGTCCTTGTCCTCATCGTCAGGCACAATGGACAACCCGTGCTGTTCCGCTGTGTGGCCAATGTATTGTGACATGGCGATCTCGACGCGGTCTAGCTCGTCGTCGGAGTTCTCTTCTCCCTTGTCGACGGCCTCGAGAATGATCTCGGATTCGTCGACCGTGGCCCCCCGCATCTCGATGGTCATGGCATTGTAGGACTCGTCCTCAGCCACTTTCATCCAGGCGGCCACGTCGGCGTCGATCTCCTCGCCCTCCTGGTCATGGGACCAGTCGGGCCTCTCCTCCATCGCAGCATACTCGTGGAGTGCTTTGGCCAGCTTCAGCCAAACAGCACAGGATCCACCGGTTCTCCTTTCACATAGGGTTCAACGCTCCCGATAGCCGGGAGAGCACACCTGATCCGTTGGGCCAACAGCTGCGTGTTGATTGCCGCATGAAGGAACTTCGACACAACCTTCCGGTTGGCATTGCTGTACGTCATATGCACGTCATCGTACCTGTGAGCCAGCAATGTCATGACCGACGGGTCGATCGAGTCGATCGCCTTGATGCGGGTCCCATCGTCGATGTCCCCATCCGCAAGGTGTCGAAGGCAGCCGTTCATGGCCTCATTGTAATCGGAAGTGAGGCCATAGTCCTCGGCGTCCGGGTTACTGATGAAAGTAATGTCCCGAATGCGTCCGAGCCCAACAGCCTCCTTGAAGAAGTCGAGCTGCTCAAACACGCGGGTCTTCTGAACCTTTGGCCATTCCGACGCGGCCTTCCGGCCCGCCTCCGTACGATTGAACCGTTTCTCATGGATCCATCTGCACCCCACGTACCCATAGTTGCCGAAGACATCGTTTCCTCCCCACAATACGTAAACCGAAATGGGAAGCTGTTTGATGCCCTTCTTGGAGTTGTCCTCGGCGATGAATCGCACTTTGGCCTCCATGGTGCTATAAATAGCGTCAAGCCCTTTTCCCCAATCCATGCCGTGGTAGATGTTGCGGACCCCCTTCAGCTGTTCGGCCTGAAGCAGCTCCGCCACATGGTGCTTGGTCGGGAATTTGTCGTTCGGCTCTTCGACCATGGCGCAGGAAGAGTCTCCAATGACCAAAATGTCGACCACCTCTTCCGAGGGGCATGGCACAGCGCGAAATTCCGCTGGGGCGTTGCGCCCTAGGACTTGGATTAAGTCCCAATAAGCCATTTCTGAGTTGCTCCCGGCTAGGGTTCCCCCCAGCATCACTCCCGGTGCCTGTTCTTGCGATGCGATAGTCCGAGTCACCGTGTCCGGTTCCGGGATAGTCGCAATCGCTGCCTGCGTCTGGAACTGCTTCATCAGCTTGTCCCATTCCACCAAATTGTAGATGGTGCGTTGAATGTCGAGCTCCTTCTCCACCACGTCATTGAGCAGGATATCAACGGAGGGCGCGAGGGACGACATCCTTACCGCAGGAGTTGAATGAATCACTCGGGAGGCTACTGAGATCGAAAAGGCTGCGTGGATCGCATCAGTAAGTTTGAATGTGTTGTTTTCGGTGTTCTTAAGTGATTGGCCCCTACCTTGCGCATGTGGCGAAGTACACCGACATTTGAACTTAGACAAAGTTTTCCCTAACATTCCAACATTGGTAGCAACAGACCAAGGCTTCTTAAGAGGATGCCGTCGGCGTTCACTATACCCACAG